TAAATTTGTCAGTCTTCCCAACTATAATACAGACCCCATAAGTCTAGGGCTTCGTTTTATCAATTGTTATTTGCTTAGACCTATAACACACATAGTAGGAGATCCTTAGGTAACTGATAGGTGGATGAAGTCATTGAATGAATCATGAAAAAAGAAAGTAATTTTTCTTATTTTAGATTGAAATAGTTCTTTTAGATTTAACTATATCCTGCTTTTTTTCCATGAAAGATTTTAGATGTTTTAAACCAAGAACACATACAGTAATGTCATAAAATATAAGTGGAAGTGTAGATTCAAGTCAGAGAAAAAGATAAACAGAAGTAGTATAGAAAAACAGAAGCAAAGCTGTTAATACAAGAACTCCAGGAGGAAACAAACTCAAGGTTAAAACAGAAATGACTTGAAACCAGCGTGATCTCACAAATTTCATGCCAGATTTGTAACAGGGGTTTTATCATAAAGAGAAATGCTTTTTTGAAATTTTTCATTTTTGCAAATAAATATTGACTATCTAGAAAGGGTGAAGGTGAACATTTATTGGGCATATTTTAAGCATTAGCTATTGTGCTTAGTACTTTACATATGTTGTCATTAATAGATAAAATCTTTATGTGAAATCCTTTGAGAGAGATACCATCATTTCTGTTACCTTCATTTTTCAAAGCATGAAATGGAAGCTGAAAATGGTTATGTAATTTATCTGTGATCATACATTAAGTGATAGAACCATGATTCAAGCACCCCTGTGCCTGACTCCTAAAGTGTGTTTTTTCCCCCATGTTGTCTCCAAGGGTGAAAGCGAGGGTCGTAGAGACGTGGCATATTCTGGTTAAGTAGATATTTTTGTTAGCATGGATCAGCCATTTTCAAAAAATTAGAATTACATAAAGGTACTCAACACTAAAACTACTCAAACATAGTTTATAAAACTATTTACTTGACCTATAACTTTTTAATCACAATGTAGAAGATGACTTTTTAACCTTTATGGCTACTTTAATTCGATGTAAAGTGTAGCATACTATGTATACTAACTCTCAGAGCACAAGAGAAAAAATTTTAGTCAATTCAAAAAGCTTTACAGAAATAGAATTTCAGACCTAAAAGGAGGGATTGATTATGGAAACTTACTGCAATGTTTAAAACCACAACTCTCCCTAGATCAAATGAGGAAAAAGGGATACTTTTGGTGGACATGCATATATCCCTTGTTATTTTTAAGTATTATAAGAAATTAATTTTAAGAGGAAGCTTTTTGTGTGTTTTTACAT